TTCTTGTAATGGCACATTAAAAAGTGGAACCTTCCAAACTAGACAGTGCTATATGTATTGGTTCACCCAGTTTGTTGAATATATGGTTAATGACGAGTGAATACTCCCTCAATGAATATTATAATATATATTGTTTCACATATATGAGGGGGAGGGAAGCGGAAAAAGAGAAAGAATTGGGAATAAAAAAGTCCCCCTATGGATTAGTAGAATTAGTTTTCCCTAAAAGATGATTATCCTTTTAGTGCGATGAATGTATATAGATATCAATATGTGGAATATCCGGCAATGACGATTTAGAGTATTGGGTACGATGACTATATGAATCGGAATGTGCGAATAATTATTTTTGGAGACCTCTCTTCTGCAATGTTATAATTCTAATGTAATATATATGTGTAACATATTCCGATGAGGATGAGATTACTGTCCTATCGACAGCATGTATTACCTTTTACTGATTTGAACATCCAGGAATATATTCTTCTTGGGAATTACTTCCTGTTACAGTATTTATAGTAATGCTATGTTCTGTTATATAGTAAGCAAATCTGTATACCTGAGTTGAATCATATTCTATGATTCCCACTTCCTGTTGTTTGGAGTATAGTATGTGTAGAATTGTACTGTAGTATGAACATTTGAAATTTATGTATTCCTCATGCGCAATTTTTGTGTATATCTATCGTAGTTATTTATAGCGGCATCTGTGATTTTAAGGATGTATTTCTTCCGTGATTGTATTGAAATTCTAAATAGTACGGTTTTCCCGTACGGTGGCTATTAAACAAAGGGATACACAATGAAAGCCAATACACGAAAAGGAATGTTTAGTTATAATCATAAATCGTGTTTTATGTTTCAATATACCCCTGTCATTGAATATTGCAGGAAAAGAAATATACGGCGGCAAACCAATGTTTCATTGAATAAAGATGAGACAGTATGAAGGATTTCAATAGAGGAGTAGTTTTCAGCAAAACAAAGAATTACTTTTTCCCCACTTCTTAAAGAATAGTGAGTAGAGTATTATTAGATACAGCATCTGTGTTGACTAATTAACCAGCTGCAGTGTATTATCTTAAACAATAGGAATCCTCAGAGTAATCAGTCATATAATTATACAATGGCATTAATGTGAACATCCTGTACTTCATAGTAATAAGATGTCTTTCTCGTCTTTTGTTTTCTGTCTCGTGGATAGTTATTATTATAGCATAGTATAATGGACATTCACGATTTTTCTTTCCCTATAACACAATGTCACTTTGGATACTGCTCTGTTAAATACAACCTCCTACGTGTTTATTATTTTCTTATTTGGAGTGTCCGTTATCTATGAGAATATAGAATGATGAACTCTTCTTTAATGATGAGGGGAATCTGTGGAAACTCCTTCCAGAATTTAATTGCGACATTGAATATGTCTTCAACAGAGAGTATTTATTCAGAAATTGGTTAAAGAGCGCAATTATCCATTCCCCTTGCTCACCATATACTGATATACTCCGTGAATAGATATGTATAATATAAAGGCTGTTTTTATAATTACAGGAATATATACCCGGCGATTATCAATCTATATTCATCCCTTTTCGGATTCTATCGTTATTTATAATAGAACACATATTGTTTCAAATACATCAATCTAATTTATGATATATTTTCGCGTCGTACGCTTAGATAAACGAAAATAATCGGGAAGAAGCTATGGAGACGGGGAAATATAAAATAACAGCACTAAATCGTCAGCACAAACTTTGCTACGCTGAATTATTCCTTCCCCCCAAATCTCTCTTTCCTGCATCACGGACTGTAATTCGAAATAAAATCACGGAGAGGGCTCTTAAGTGCAGATGACAGCTCATATATATATGATACATGCGCATAATAGCAATCATGGTGGACCCATATATATGTAGTCCACTTTATATCTGGATTATCTTTTGACATTTCGAATCTTATTTGAGAGAAAATTCTGAAAACAATTACAGGGGAATTCCTCTATCGTTATTAAGATGCTTTTATAGGCCTC